TCTTCTTTTTGTGAAAATAAATTCACATATTTTAACGGCATGAAAATAAAAAAGGATTGGGTGATAAACACCCAATAAATTTTCCCCTTTTGGGATATTTTTTTTTCTACGCCATTTAAGGCGTAGATTTTATCTGTTTCCATTTCGGAAACAGTTATATATTTTTTTGAAAAAAAATTTTGCTGTTCATTAAACGCGTTAATAAACAATAGTTCCGATTGTGATTGTTGGTGTTGTTGTTGCTGTTGTGGTTGTTGCTGTGGTTGTTGTGATTGTTGTTGTTGCTGTTGTGGTTGTTGTTGTGGTTGTTGTGATTGTTGTTGTTGCTGTTGTGGTTGTTGTTGTTGTTGTTGTGATTGTTGTTGTTGCTGTTGTGGTTGTTGTTGTTGTTGTTGTGATTGTTGTTGTTGCTGTTGTGGTTGTTGTTGTTGTTGTTGTGATTGTTGTTGTTGTTGGCTCATATGCACCTCATGGTGCAGCTTCATTCTTTTGCGTTTTGGTGGAACAACTGTCTGACAGTCCGTTACCACAGCGTTGTATGGAGTAATGAACTCCTGCAAAATAAGATCAACCTCGGTTGGTTCCATTTTGAAAACTGATAATGTTGGTAGCAAATTCTCTCAGTATTTATACAACATTTAACAGGATATAATTATTACATATTTTTGTAAAATTGTAAATTAATTAAAAATTCTTACAAAAAGGTAGATATAGAATACTTGTTTTCTTTCAAGATAGTACAAAGTAATCTATTATTAAAAAATTATTAAATAAACCTACTATAAAAAAAGCCTGCAAAAGAAACAAGTTAAATTAATAAATTTATCATTTTTATAGATCCTTTTTCATTCTCAATTTTTAATGAATTTAATTTTCTCTATCTTTAATGAATTATTTTGTGTATGCAAAATTATACGATTACAGCCTGTGACAGGTAGTATTTTATAATTGTTACAATGTTGAAGATTATTTATAATAAAAACATTGATCGTTGAAAATGAAAGAAACATTATAATAAGAGTAAAAACTTCTATTTCTATCATTTTGCTAGGAAAAGTCATTTTAAAAACAACATAATGTCTAAAAAAGTTATCTTACAAAAATTTTTAAATTCGAATCGCTATACAATTGAAAGCGATTATATTACAATTATCAAGCGTTTTAAGGTACGTGGGAGAAAAATAATATTTAAAATAAATCCAATACCCACCAATGAAGACCCGATTACTTGGGTAAGGGAAGCCGTGGAAAAAATCATTAAATATGTATTACAAAACCTGACAAAAAGTGACATGGTCGGGTTGACCTTTTGTGGAGAAAGTTTTCAACACCGCGGTCCTGCGTGGCTTGCTTATAGGCCAGCTGAAAGTTTAAAATTTGAAGACGTATGGGATATAATTTCAAAAATTTTTCAAAGTAATTCCGAGGGTAAGTTGTTACTACATTTTGATTTTGTATTATCTTTTTTATTACATAATTTTTTTTTGTTACAGGTTTAAATACGGACAATTTTTGTGTGACAGTAACACATGTCAGTCTACCTGTTGGTAGAGGAAGGCCCAAGAAATATAACAATTTTGTTGAGGAATGTAAGCAACGAACTGGAATAATTAGTATTAACAATAAAGATAACTTATGTTTGCCCCGTGCTCTAATTACCGCTATTGCCAAAATAGAAAATGATGTAAACTATGAAAAAATTCGACGAGATGTAAATAAGCAACAATTAACAAAAGCCCAAGAATTGGTAAAACAAGCTAACGTCATAATTCCCGTACTCGGCTGTGGAGTAACAGAATTAAAACAATTTCAAAGTCATTTAAATAATTACAAAATTGTTGTTTATGAATATGGAGGTGGTGGTAGAGATGTGATATTTGAAGGGAGTAATCATGGTAAAAGGATCAATTTATTACATTATGATGACCATTTTAATGTAATTACCTCTCTTACTGCGGCTTTTTGCTCTTCATATTATTGTGAGGAGTGTAATATTCCGTATCATGTAAAGAATGACCACAGATGTTCTCGTATATGCCCATGTTGTCAACAATTACCACAATGCCGATCAAATGGAAACAATATTTTATGTAAAGATTGCAACAGACTGTTTCGAAGCCCTATTTGCTTAGAAAACCATAAAGCATCGGGTTCAAAAAGCAAAAGTATTTGTGATGAAGTGAAAAAATGTTTAAGTTGTCTTAAGACATATAAATCTAATCGACAACATATTTGCGGGGAATCATTTTGCAAAACCTGTAATATTCATGTTAGTCAAGGACATCTATGTTTTATTCAAAAAGACGACAAAGAACCACCATTAAGCAACTTTATTTACGTATTTTATGATTTAGAAACACGACAAGAAAAAAAAATTAGTGAAAATGAAAGGCTTCACGAACCAAATTTATGTGTGTTATCTCAGAGATGTGATAGTTGCATCGATGAATCTAAACTGTTGTTTTGCCAAAAATGCAAATTTAGAAGTAAAATAATTAAAGAAAAAGACGTTATTGCCAACTTTGTTTTACATTTGTTAGCACTGAGAAAGCTTTTTAAAAAAATTATTGTTATAGCTCACAATGGACAAGCGTTTGATCATCAGTTCATCTTAAATTATATATTACAGGAAACTGTATTAAAACCTAAATTAATCATGAGAGGAACCAAAATTATAATGATGTTAATTGACAACATAAAATTTCTAGACTCGCTAAATTATTTTCCAATGGCTCTCTCCGAACTCCCAAAAGCTTTTGATTTACCATCAAATTTTAAAAAAGGATACTTTCCATACAAATTTAACACCATAAAAAATGCGAATTATGTTGGCCTTTTACCAGCAATAGAATACTACGGGGCAAACAGCATGAAACCAAAAGAACGTGACATATTTCTGCAATGGCATGAAAATCATAAAAATGATGTTTTTAATATGCAACGTGATATTATTGAATACTGTATTTATGATGTTGTAATATTAAGAGAAGCCTGCCTTAAGTTTCGAAAATTGTTCATAACTGAATGTAATGTGGAACCGTTTTTAGAAGCCACAACTATAGCATCAGCCTGCAATTTAGTGTTCCGGAGAAATTTTCTTAAGTCCAATACTATCGGGCTGATTCCTAAAAATGGATATAGATATGCAGATAATCAGTCAAAGCAGGCTATACAGTGGCTGGTTTTTGAAGAGGAAAACCGTAAAATCAATATTCAACATGCAGCTAAAGAACGGGAAGCTATAGTGGCCGGTGTAAAAGTAGACGGTTATTGCCAAGAAACTAATCAAGTTTTTGAGTTTTACGGATGCTATTTTCATGGGCACCCCTCTTGTCTACCACATAAACGTGACAAACCTTTGTACGATGATTTAAATGATACTCTAAATCACCGCTATGCAAGAACAATTGAAAAAAGTAGCCGATTAAGAAATTTAGGTTACGAAGTTGTGGAAATGTGGGCTTGTGACTTTGAAAGTTTACTAAGTACAAAACAGAAAGAGCATTTAAAAAATCACCCATTAGTAAACTGTACCCCGTTATATCCTCGAGATGCATTTTATGGTGGTCGCACAGGAAATACATTTAGTTACTATAAGTGCAAAAATGCAGAAAAAATAAATTATATTGATGTGTGTTCCTTATATCCATATGTATGTAAATACGGAAAATTCCCTATTGGACATCCCAAAATCCATATTGGAAATACTAAATGTTATTCATTAAATTTACAAAACATAAATGGTCTCATAAAGTGTAAAATATTGCCACCTGAACGTTTGTATCATCCGGTTTTACCGCTGAAGCAAAATAATAAATTAATGTTTACGTTATGCCGTTTATGCAGCGAACAAAGAAATCAAAATAAATTTTGCACACATTCAAATGATGAAAGAGCCTTAACAGGAACTTGGGTTATCGATGAAGTTATTAAGGCTCTAGAAAAAAATTATAGGATATTGGAGACGTATGAAATATGGGAATACGACGTATCACAATATAATAAACTTAAAAACGCTGAAGGATTATTTAGTAAAATGATGGATAAATTTTTAAAAATAAAACAAGAAGCTTCAGGGTGGCCCAGCAAGTGTTGTACTAAAGATCAAAAAGAAAAATATATTGAAGATTTTTTGCAAAACGAAGACATACAGCTCGAATATGAAAAAATTTTGAACAATCCTGGGTTACGATCATTTGCCAAATTGATGTTAAATTCATTTTGGGGTAAATTCGGACAAAGAGAAAACTTACAAAAAACAAACATTATAAATGAGCCATTTGAGTTGTATGAGATGTTAACTAATGCAGCAATAGAAGTATGCCACATTTTACCTATAAATGAAAGAAATATTGTTATTAACTGGCAATACAAAGAAGAGGTAACAGAATCTTTATCAACTGTGAATGTCTCTATTGCTGCATTCACAACCGCACAAGCCCGTCTAAAATTGTACACATACTTGGAAAAGCTAGATAATCGAGTTTTATATTACGATACAGACTCAATATTTTACATAAGTCGTGAAGGTGAATATGAACCCCATACTGGAGAGTTTATAGGGGATATGACTAATGAATTGGAAAGCTATGGCCAAGGTAGTTATGTTACAGAATTTGTAAGCGGTGGTCCAAAAAATTACGCCTATAAGGTTTTTTCTACAAAAGATAATTCTGAAAAAGTGGTTTGTAAGGTGAAAGGAATTCGCTTAAACTACGACGCTTCACACAAAATCAATTTTGAAACGATGAAGGAAGCTGTTTTAAATTTAAACAATTTTGAAAATATTTCCATACTTTCTGACAATATTCGAAGAACAAAAGAACATGAACTCATTACGGTGTCTGAAACCAAAACATATCAACCAAAATCCGAAAAGCGAAGATTTTTGCCTGATTACAGTTCGTTGCCATTTGGTTATAAAAGAAGAAAGATAACTCAATAAATAGTCATGTAATTTTATAAAACGAAATTTATTATAATAAAATGTACAAGTAATTTCAAATTAAGTCTTTTTTATTAATCCAGCTGTTATGTTTACTGTCAAATCCCAACCACTTTACAAAAATTTTATTGCCCTGTTTTTTTAGGATTTTTTCTACTAAATAGGCGTCAGAATTTTTAACAGGTGTTAATTCAGGTTCATAAAATTTACCAGATATATCATTACTCTGATAATCACGCAACTCATAAGTAACTGGATATGTATTATGTACTTTAATAACTTTAAAAATTTCAGTAGACCAATTTGCATTATAACCTTTTTCAAATATTCCTTTATATTTACTTATCCTAACATAGTCTCCTACTTTATATTTATGTTTTTGATAAATTTTAGGCTCTGCATAAAATTTTTTTAAAATAAATTCTTCATTTTCTTTAGAAATTTTTCCAGGTGGTAGCTTGGTTTTTCTATGGGGGGTTGAGTTATATATTTTTAATAAAGACGGTAATATAGTAATCCATTTGTAACTACCCTGTAAGCTAAACTTTCTCCACATCAAATTTTTTAAAGTACGATTAAAGCGTTCTACAATAGACGCCTTAAGATCCGAAAACGTATGGTAATGATTAATTCCTTTCTCCCGCATATAATTTTTGAATTTGATATTAAAAAATTCTTTCCCTTGATCTGAATGAATATTTTTTGGTACAGTTTTACTTCGTTTTATAATTGTTTTAAAAGCTTGTAAAACATTATCAGCAGTTTTATTTTTTACCGGTTCAGCAAATGCGTGCTTAGAAAAGGTATCTATAACAGTTAACATATATTTTTTGCCCTTATTAAACTTTGCATAAGGAATCATTTCAACTAAGTCAATTTGCCATGTATCATTTAAACCTTTTTGTAGAAATCTTCTCCTCCGGTAATTTTTTCGAGCCGGTCTATGAATTTCTGACACTATTTGAGCTCTTGACATATTTTTCGTACCAATTAATCAATTTTGCAACTTCAATTTTGTATTTTTCTATTGTATGGCATTCACAAGTATCAGGTCCAGATGTAGTATCGTTGCAAGCCCAAGGGCAAATAGTAAAATGGCTTCCGTGTATAGAAGAAGTTATATGTAGTTTATTTTGAAATTTTTTTAAATAGTTGTTTAAATATAAAATTCGTTTTTTATGTTCGTCTAAAATTACTGAATCATATACATTTAGAAACTGATTAACGTCCATTTTTTTAAATGATAAAATTGCAGAAAATTTTTCTATTTATATAAGTTGGGAGCTTTCCAATTCCGATATAAAAATGACGGTTTAGTTCACGTACGTCACATTTTCAATTTGATTTTGTGTGCGTACTAATACAATGGAAGCAGATTCAACTAGTGTTTCAAATGAGATGTGTAATCACAGGAATCAAACTTGTGAAAATCTACCCATCCAAGTAAATGAAGTCACATCAACCGTTGATGATGAGGAGTTAATATTAACTCAAGAGTTTATTCCACCAGGACAACAATATAGAAACAATGATAACGATAACGCAAACCAAGATGAAGACCTTTGGGACGGAAATAACCAGGAAGGTGATCCAGATTATTATAATATCTTTTAGTAGCTTCTTAAAAACACAATTCTAATTAAGAAAAGCTTTAGTATATTACAATTGACAATCGTAGAAGCATAACAAGTTTTTAAAACTTACTAAAGAAATAAGAATGGATACTCAATTACCGAGGAGAGATAATGTTTCAATTATGTTAGATAAGGAAGAAGAATCGATTTCGGAACCAAATTCGTTCTGCTGGAATTGCTGTAAATGTCTCATGCTGTATATGGTGTTTTTATGTTTGCTTTTTATTATTTTTACAATTACTCATGTTTTAAATAACACAAAAATAATGTAAATAAAAGAAAAAATAAAATACAAGTAACATATTAGTCTAGTAGCATAGTGCTTTTATTTATTTCTAAATATTTTTTTATCTTATTTTTAAGTAAAAACGGAATTTCATAAAACAATCTAGAATAATTACATTGAAAGTTAAATCGATCTAATGGTATATAAATTTCATTTTTTAGTATGATTTCATTGTTTTCTACACATTGTCTTATATATTTCCTTACATAGTCTTTTACACCTTCTTCAGCCTTGTGGTTGTAATCCATTACCAAATGAATAAAATCAATTAGGATATGAAATTCATCCATCTCTTCGCTCCTTAACACGAAAGTTTGTAAATTTTTTGTTTTTATTCCAAATTGTAGACAAGAGACCTTGTTATTTATAAATTTTTTTTTATATTTTGTTTGAAATTGCTGATAAAATTCCACCCAATCTTCATAATTTACAAAAATTTCCTTTTTTCCAATACGGTGTATTGAAATGGTTGCTTCTAATAATTCTACGTGGAATCCTATTACTACTTTTACAGTATGTGTTTTGTTTAAAAAATAAGTATACGCCAACAACATGTTTTTAAGAAACACTGATTAAGTAGTGCTGATCTAGCTATCTGTTTTTTAAACTGCATTTTAATTGAGACATTTCATCTTTTATATAACATGATTTCTAGAAACACATCTCTGAATATTCTGCTTTCCAAATATTTTGTGAAATTTTCTTAAAACTATTTGATCATTTTTAATATGGTTGCGTTTCTTAAATTCACGTAAAAAATTATTCATACTTATACCAAAACATCTATACCATGCATACACGCAACAGTATTCTCCACAAACTTCTGAAAAGGTGCTTTGTAATTGTTTGTCATTGAAAACAATACATTTATCTTTTAAAAAACTTAAAATTTCCTTTTTATTTGGTAAACCTCCATAAGAATCAAAGTATTCAACACAACCATATTTTGGAATATATATGGCTAACCAATGTTCGCCAGGATCTTTTGCTTTATCAGTATTTATAATTATAAGGGAAGATCTTTCAAGGTTTTTTGGTATTTGATCTAAAGCAAATACACCTCTAAATTTTTTTCTTGTATATTTATTGCAATTTAAATATTTTATAATATCTAAAGTATTCATAAATTTAATTCACTTAAATCATAAACTGTACTGTTTTCTTTAATGTAATGCGAAATGAAATCCTTTTTGATTTTTCCGTTAGTCAATATCACGCTGAATTTTTTTAATATTTCTTTAAGTTCATAGCTTATATTGTCATTAATCAAAGTTCCAAACGAATAGTTTTCAAAATTTTCATATATTAGTTCCTTAGTTGGAAATTTGTAAGAAAACTCCTTTACAATTTTTTTGCATTTTTCTTGAATCCCAACTAAGCAAATATCTTTTACAAATAAGGTATTCTTGTCGTCACAACAAAACGTTATATCAACAAGTGCATAAGACGATGACATCATCTTGAATATTAAAACCATTTATGTAATTGTTCTATTTATAGGTTTGTGAAAATATTTCTATTTTTGTCAATTTCAATACTTGCATCAAATTCTCCATAGACAATAGCAGTCAATACAGATGATTGCGCTTTAGATAACCTTGCCTCAATTCTAATTGTACCTTGATTAAATAGACCCTGACATATCTCATTTCCTGATGCATCTGGTGTCAAATCGAAAGCCAAGATGAAAAATCCACTACTAAACATAGATTTTGATATTTGATGTCCTTTGTCATTATGATAAATTCCTGTACCAGAGAAAAGTGTATGGTATGCACGAGTATGACAATTATTTTCATCTGAAAAACTTGTTTCAATTGCTGTGTTTGGTACTTGTACACCATTTACATACAATACAAACTGGGACATATCAAAATGTCGAAAATTATATGGATTTTTTGATCTTTTTCCAGAGTAGCCAACATTTTCTGTAAGGCAAAAAATTATGGTGTTGGGTAATTGCCCAATGAAGACATTATCAAGTGAAATAGTTGATGTATTAGAAGGAATTGTAAAACTTTTTACTTCAACACGTTTGTAATTGTACTTGGCATTAGATTTTTCTAGAACAGCATTATGGGCTAGTAGTACACTTGGGTTTATTGTTACGTGCTTCATAAATAATGTAGCTTCCAAAATTTTTAACTGAGATTCATCAGCATCGTCTGCAAAAATATAAAAATCTGGTTTTTCAAGTGTTAAAGTAATTCTCACATCAACGTTGTTTATTAAAAGAGTCGGTTGGTTAAACATATCCAAATGTAGTTTACCCATTAGCTCTACGATATTGCTGTTGTGATAAAGTTTTTGACGTTCTTTTGATCCATTATTATCTGGTTTTGCTATGTTTGGTTTATCTAAACACCATCCAGCACACTCTAAATGAGTAGTAGCGGCATCCGTACCATAATTTAATAATGATTCAATGTATGCTCTGTAATGATAATTTCCATCTGACGGGGTAATACTTTTTCCGTTAAATTGAACATTACACTGTTTTATTATTGAGTGTAGAAGATTATTCACTACACTTGGTTGGGGCAATGTTTTTCCGTCGGCACCTTTGTCGTTATTCCAATGGTTTCCGTCTTTTTTAACAATTTGTACCTTTAATCTAAGATATGTAGAAGATAAATCTCTGTATGTATCACCATGACCTAATGAGACAAATTCAATAGTTGATGGATTATCTAAAGAAGCAATAGGATTGTATGAAACTTCTTCAGATCTTAAAATACTAGATTGAATTGGCTTTGTTCTAAAAATATCCAATTCTGATTTCATACATTCAATCATAATTAATCAAAAATATCAACTTTTTTTCTTTTGCTATTAACTTTTCGTCGCTTTGAAGCAAAATAGTCGATTTTTTTAATGAGGCGCCTTTTTATAGTTTTTCTTTTTCTTTTTCCAGATCCATACATTTCGTTTAACTTACGAACTGCTCCACGTCTCACATTTTTTAAAATTTCCTTACCCCGATCCTGAACTACTTCTCTTATATTTGCTCCAGTTGCAATATCAGATAGAGCATTCATACTGGAATTAATTGCTTCATTTTTCAATATATTAGCTCCGGAGACAAACAAAGGTTTCAAATATTTAAAAAGCCCCCCAAAAAAACTTCCCAATCCTCGACCTCTTTGATAGGCAAGGGCAGAATGAAGTAAGGGGCCGATATCATCAAGCCCTTTACCAGATTGAACTAAATAATACTTATAATACAATCGTTCCATAATATAATAGAAAAATAATATAATTTTTGCTTAATACCTTTTATTTATACTTTTTTGAAATGTAATACAATTTTTGTAGGAATATTACTATTAGAAAAATTTATTCTTTTACCATATTTATCACATAACATAATAGAAATATTATCAAAAAATTTATTTTCAACTGGAAAATAATGAATATTTTTAAATTCAAAAAAATTATTTTCGTATGTATTCTTTATTATTATTGTTCGTAAACACCTCAAAGTATTGTCACCGACAATTTGTGGTTCTATAATGTCACTGTATACAAACATAATATCTGATTTATTTACTGGTATAAAATATAAGGTTTCTAAATAAGACTTGTACAATTGCACAATTCTGTCTTTATATTTTTTAAAATCGGGGTATTTTATTAAAATTTGATTAAAACATTCTTTGATAAAAACATCAATTGACCAATTGGTTTTTACACCTATTTTTATGTCAACTTCTGGATCGCTGACACATATTTTAACCACTTCACCAGTGTATTCAGTTGGTTCTCCAGATTTTATGTAACTTGAGTTCCTTGAAATATAATCAAAAATTTGCCATATAAGTTGACGCTCACATTCCTTTTTTGTATATCCTGCATCCGGTTCTATATTTTGTATGAGTGTAGGTAAAACAAAAGTTTTCCAATCACAATTGATTTGTTCTTTCCTATATGGAATATAAGTTGTACCTATGTTTTCATATTTTTTTTCTGTACTTCCAATCGTAATTGCAATTCTTTTTTCGTTGTTTTCTCCGTAAATGGATGATACAAAATCATTTACATACACTTGTGAAATTC